GAGACAAAGAGGGTAGACATGAGAGGACAAAACACTTTCAACATCTTTCATATGTTTCACAAATCTCAAAGACTAAATAACCTTATTGTGCCAGAAGTCACAATAATCAGTGAAACACATGGAAAAATCGAAAAGTTATGGTAATGTAGTATATAAAATACTTCAGAAAACATTGCCCTTTGACCTTTTATTTTTTAATCCTCACCCATGGACATGCTTTTTTTGTTTTTAAATAGAGACAGGGGAAAGAAGGGAGAGAGAAAGGGAAACATCTATCAGTTGCCTCTTGCACATGCCCAGACCAGGGACCAAACCCACAACCTAGGTATGCACCTGACCAAGAATCGAACCCTCCACCTTTTGGGTTACAGGACCACGTTCCAACAGAGCCACACCAGCCAGAGCTGACCTTTCAATTTCTAACCACATTTAAGTTCATCCTGAGAAATAAACTACTGGGGGGAGGGCAGGGGGAGAAGCTGCATATAAAACATTCTCCCTCTGGCATTAACTCTTAAGAGTGAAAAATAGAACCTAAATTTCTAACCATAGACAGGGATGGTTAAAGATAACATGAAAAAGCCAAATATCATAAGAGAAAACATTTTATCATGCATAAACTTTTAAAATTCAACAGCAAGGGGGAAAAAGCATTAAAGAAAAACATTTGCAACATATGACAAAGGGTCAACACTTATAGCACATAAAAGGTTCCCGTAAATTAGTAAGAAAAAATTAAAATATCCCAAAAGAAAAATGGGTAAGATACAAACAGGAATTCCAAAAGAACAAGTGAAAATGATTAGTAAATAGAAAAATGTTGGCTCTCCATGTTAATCAAAGAAATAAAAATTAAAATGATGTATTATCCACCTAAAATGTAGGGAAAATGGGCACTCATAGTTTTAAAGAGTATACACTGGAACAACTTTTCTAAATATCACTTTTGGTAATATAAGCACTTTATAAAGCTCACACAATTCTATTTCCAAGAATACATTACACAAATAATTAGACCACCGCACAAAGTTGTTCACATGAAGTTCATTATAGCTTTGTCTATAATGCTAAAATGCCAAAAACAACCTAAACATTCAACAATAGAAGACAGGTTAAGTAAATTATGGCATATCCATATACTGGATGTTTAGACTGCTTTTGAGAGAACACGAGTTAATATTTAGTGCAAAAAAATGTTAAATAAGGAAATATATTAAGTAAAGGTTTTAAAACAGCACATACAGGATCTGGCACACGTAATGCCCCATGTTTGTTACAAAATCATAAGCACATCATAAGTCTGTAACTTAACAGTATCATACTCAAGCATACCATATGACATTTTAGGTGAAATGTTGAAATTAAAACTATAAATTATTACACCAATATTATTACCCTACCTACGACACTCAAGCAGGCGTTACTTCTGCCAGATCCTGTATAATAGAAACCTTTTTTAAAAAAAGTCTGGAAAGACACACACCAAAAATTAAGTACTGGTTATATCCATGTACTAGGGTGAAATATTTTGATACTGCCTAATTATTTTATAATGAACAGATATTCCCTCATAAACAAAGAAAAAAGCTTTTCAAATAAGTAAAAAAAATGCAAAGAATGTACAGAAAAGTATGTGTAATTAGGAAATACAAAGTTATAGGTACAATTAATAAAGATGAACAAAAAATACAAAAATCATTTTGATTTTCCCTTAACAACTTACTGTTTAAATGAAAAGTATAAAGAATTAAGGATAGTTCCACTATAAAAATGGAGAGAAAAAGTTGAGGCAGAAAAGAAAATAGAAAACTCACACCATAAAATCTTAATAATTTTAGAAGGAAGTAAGGTCATCTTCTGAGAATCAAAAGTCTCAAAATTGGGGCTAGCAACCTGAATTAGTGTGCAAAAGCAATACAGAAAATGAGTCAACTTTGGGATAAGAAAAGGATTTGAAAGCAACTAGTACACAGGTAGTTGGAAAACAATATTTAACAGTCACCACAGCTGTGACTTTTTGAGGGGTGCTAGGCAGGGACAGAAGTAGAAAAAATAAACGGTGACATTTACAAGTTGAGAATCGACCCACTATAAACAGCAAAGATCAAGGAGAGGAGAACTACGAAGTGCTAGTGAGTTCACAGAATAGGAACTACAGAGTTCAGGATTGGAAAGAAGTAACAAAACTAACAACCTGGGAGGTACTCGAGGTGACAATGAAGACATAAAGCTTGTTCATCAAGTATGATGGGAAACAAATACATAGAAAGGCTTTGAATCATCATCTCTAGCTACAGAGCTTAAGGCTAGACGTATTTCTGAATGAAAACAGGTTAAAAAACATAGTCAACCATGCAGGATGTTGACTGCAGAGTGGAGGTGAAGGTCACTGGAGTTACTGAACTGTAGTTCCAAATGTGTGGCCTTTCTGGTAGAAAATAAATTTAACTGTTACTCTAACCTATATGCACTTCACTTTTATCCACTGCAAATACACCCTTTCTAACCTGACTAGTAAGAATTTGGCTGGCACTTAACCTCTCTCTGCACTTTATTCTACCACAAAATAAAGAAAATAAGGAGACAGGAGACTGAATTAAATCAATGGTTCTCCAATTACACATTAAAATCATGGGTACAAACAAACAAAAAAAGATAAAATTCCCTATTACCCAAACCCAGTAATTCTCATTTATTTGTACCAGGTAGGGTTTAGATATCTGTATTAGGAAGCTCCTCAGGAAATTCTAATGAGCAGCCAAGCTTGAGAACTGAACTAAGTAATTCTAAAGGGTACATTCCTTTTAAAATTTTTAAATTCTATGATTCTAAATAATTCACTGTCACTGTTTGTTAAGGTAACTTACTGAATATCACACACCTGGCACTCCACAAACATCTTAGTAATCCTCACAACACTGTGAGACAAATATTTCTGTATCCATTTCATAAATGAGTGCAGTGAAGCTTAGAGAAGTAAAGGAACTTGTTCGTGAGTCACAGGCTAATAAAGACCAGAGCTAGCATTCAGGTTTGCTTTTTTGTTCCAGTCCACCTTATACGCAACTTACTTTCTCTAGCACTCACAGAAACGACCTGAATGTCTTCTATTCTCTTCCCAAGACTTACCAACTGAGCACAACAGTTTATAGTTTATGGACTGACTGGAGAGAAAGTTATCATGAATTGACACAGAATTAACCTCAGATTCTACAGTACTTTCATTATAGAATTATATATAATTCCTTTGCCTACAGAGGCCTTGCAACTTATAAAAGAGCACTCTTTCAGAGTGCATATCTATGAGGCACATTTTATTTAGTTAGGCCAACGTGCATATTGCCATTAAGCATGCAGCTGGTATACAAAGCTGGTTCTCAAAATTTATCAATTGAAAAGTGATTCTTATATGCTTTCCATTAAGCAAAGCATTCTAAAATAAAATCCTAAGACAATTCTGTCAAAACAATAACTGGTAGAAAATGAGATCTGCTCTATCAGAGAGCTTAAATGTATAAACATGACTCAAAATGTTTAGGCATCAACTCTATTTCCATCCAGTGCAAATAAATTCAACTACTCTTTAAAATTATGATTATTATCCTTTTGTTGATACAGGGCTTTTTCTTTGTTGCTTAAACTTCAGTCCATCATGTACTTGAAAATTTCATAAACACTCAAGTTCTGTAGTAACAAAACTACTCCCCAGGCCAAAACTACTATGCCCAAGGAAATTGAAATTTAGTAAGAAATTCATGAAGTATCTTTACAAAGGAGTACATGTGTTACTCATCCACTCAAACCTTTCCTGAGCATGTGTTACATTCTCTGCACACTGAGGTTGGAGAGGCGAATCAGACTCCCAAAACCTGCTGTCAAAGAGGTGCCATAACAGGTCAGTGCAAAATGTACTGGGACAAGTGAATTATTCTCAGGGAGAGAAAGGGGTTGGGGTTAAGGAGAATGGGGCAGAAAAGACTCCAAAGATTATACAGACTTAGGTGAGTTTTTTAAATTTTATATTTAAAGAGAGGGGAAGGGAGGGAGAAAAGGAGAGAAACATCAATGGGTTGTCTCCCATTACGGGTCCCTATGGAGGACAGAACCCACAGCCCAGGCCACTGCCCTGACGAGGAGGAATCTAACCCATGACCTTCCCTCTGCCTGACGACACCCAACCATCTGCGCGATACCGGGCAGCACCTAAGTAAGTCTTTTTAAGAGGAAAACGTTCAGTACAAAAACCCATGTAAAGCAGCTCTCTAGAAAATAAGTATACTGAGTAAATTAAAATCAGAAAGAGCAGCAAGACACAGGAAACAAGGTGGGCAGAGACTGTTCAACAGGAATAAGTTATACATCCTACAGAATTATGCTATACAAAAAATGAGAAGGCTTCAGAGCCATAACAGCTTGGCTGTTAAATTTATGAAGTTAGTTAAGTCACCCTCAATTTTACACAATTTTTCATCAAGAAAAACCAATGTTTTTATTTGCCAGTGAAACAAAATAAAAAGGAAAAAAATGTTTAAGGAAATTAGCAATCAAACCTGAGCATAAGCTATACTTTTACCTATAGATTAAGAGAAATTCTTCAAGACGCATTCCAGGGTTTATCACATATGTTGGTCAAGCATCCTGTCAGTTAATTTAACAGAATTTTAAAGCGAAGATGCTTTCATTTAAAAATAGCAATTCGTATTCATTTACTGACTCTCTTTTAAAGCCTTGGTCAGTCCGCCAGTGGTTTTTTTTTTCTTTTTGGAGGCAATTACATGTGCTTTTTAAGTAAGTAACTTAATACCATTCACCTCCAGTGCTGTCAGGACCTGAAGAGATTAAAAATAGCAGCCTTGGTTAATACTGAATTAACCTGAGGTCCCCATAAGCTGCCAGACCACAGACAAAAAAAGGTAAATGCTCAAAACATGACAGGCATGCACTTTTAAGGAACCACAGAGAGGGGAAAAAACAAAATTGAAACGTCAGGATCACTTCACCTTGTTTTTAAGAGAACAACACGCGCCTTTAAGTCTCTCAGTCACGTTCCTGTCTAAATCTTTCTTTAATGAGCCTCTTCAGTCACGTACTGAAACACAACAAGAAGGCATTTATCAATTTACATACTCTGTGAATCTATGAATTACAGGGAAGGGCTTAGTTATCTGCAACCTTAATACTACTCATTTCCAGCGCACACACAAGTTATTGCTATCATGTACCAACAGCACACAAGGGTATTCAAGAAACATGAACAGCAAGCTGTGTGGGTCTTCAATAAAATTTTTAAAAGAAAAAATAAATTCGGCAAAACGCCTCAAAAGTTTTAAATTCCAAATAATGTGTAAGAGCCACCGCTTCTGTCAGAGCAAATCCTAAGGTGCCATTTTTGCCCCAAGTCACTTAAAATGTACCGTTCAAGTTACAAAGTCCCTGGTGCCCAGCCTCTGCAAACTTTTGGACGGAAAGATGTTGGGACCCTAAGGCGCTCTGGCCACATATGGGGCCCTGACCAAGCCTGGGACCCTAGTCCTCAAGCCCCACAACTTCTGTCTAGCCCGACCGCGGGGCCCCACTAGCGTGTCTGCCTGACCCTCGCCCCGCGGACCCGCGGACCCTCCGGACGGCTAGCGAGCCCGCCCGCGGAATTGGCGGCGGCGTCCCAGGGGCTGCGCGACTCGTTCCGGACGCCGCGGGCCAACCCCAGCGCAAGGGGAGCGGCCCGGGAGCGCCCCGTTTCTCACAGACCCCAACATGGCGTCGGCAGCTGCCGCCCGCGACGACAACACCTCCTCGCGCCGCGGACGGCCCGGGAACCGCGGGGAAAAGCGCCGGAAAGTTTCGCTTCTCCTCCCCCAGCCCGCCAGAGGCCGGCGGACAACCAACCCAGGTTTCACCTACCCGGCCGGGCGCGGACCGCGGCGGCGGCCAAGGTCCGACTCCTCCTAGTCCCGGGCGCGGGCGCGGACTCTGCCCGCTCCCCCGCCTCGGCCTCCCAGGGTGTGGGCCGCGGCCCCGCGCAGCCGGCTCGATCTGGACGCTGCGGGCGACCGGCGCAGCCGCTCGCAGGTGACTCCCCCGCCCCTCTTTTCGAACCCCACTACGGCCTCCTCGGCTGGCCTCACCTCTGCGCGCGCACCGGCGCGCCGCCGCCCACACGCCAGGCGCGAGTGCGCGCACACGAGCACTCGCTCCCTCCCTTTCCTGACTGTTTCCCTCGCCCCGCCCGAGCTCCTGTGCGCGACGCTCTCGAAGGGGCGGGGCCACCGTGGAGGCCACACCCACCTGGACAACCTTGCCTGCGATTGGTTCTTTCGCCCACTGTGGGGAGCGGTTTGGCTGCACGTGGAAAGTCTTACCTGAACTGCGTGGCTCCAGCCCGCCTTAAGAAAGGGTTGTTGGTCTCTGGACGAAGTTCTCGGGTAAACCAGAAGAGTGGAAGGAAGGCTGCACCCTTCTCTCCTGCCACCAACTGCCTTCCCCAGGAACTCAAGAGCTTTCTTCAGCGGATAAAGAAAGTCTTTGAAGCCCTGGCTGGTGTAGCTCAGTGGATTGAGCGCGGGCTGCGAACCAAAGTGTCGCAGGTTTGATTCCCAGTCAGGGTACATGCCTGTGTTACAGGCCATGACCCCCAGCAACCACACATTGATGTTTCTCACTCTCTCTTTCTCCTTCCCTTCCCTCTCTAAAAATAAATAAATAAATCTTTCAAAAAAAAAGTCTTTGAATTTAGATGCCCCAAAACTGCTGGGTGAACATGTATTTGCCATTCACACTTTGCAGGACGTCTTCCATTCACATTCCCTGAAACTCCTAGGACTTGAAACTGAGAGCGCCGCCAACAACACACATATCCTACATTCTCTGCACAGCCCGCACAGCCTACCCACCCCACCCCACCTTTTTTTTTTTAAGTTTATTCCTTGCATTATATCTCTGGTCTCCAAAACTCTTCTCTGATGACACAGAACCTCATTTAGTATTTCACATACCTGGAAACTGTAATGACAGTATGTAAAGTTAAACCTTCCTTTCATTTACACAACTCAACTGTTTGCTAAGCACGCTGGTGGGTCCCTGGAGAGATGCTGGAGATTTCTAGGATAGACAAGGAATTGGAGGTGGGGCAATGGCATACTCACTTAAAGTGTGTAGGTGGAGATTAGATTTGGGTGAATTTATCTTCCCCATGGATCTCTTTCAGGGATTGATTACACTTGAATTAGAGCCACCAGCAACAAAGGCGCACATAACTGAGCACCCACCGAGGGAACATGAGCAGGTCTTGATTCTGGACCTGCATTCTTTCCACCTGCTCTTGAGAATGGAATTCTACTCCCTCCAGGTCTTCAGCCTCCCACCCTCCCCTACTTCAGAGTATGGAAAACAAGCAGATATTTTTTGAAATTAATAACGAGAACAAAACTAGCAAGGATAAACTTTTTTAAATGGGGAAACTTACAGGATCACAATCACACAAGTCTTCACATGTTATTTACAGTTGTCTCTATGGATGACTGCCACCCTACCCCATCTTCATTCATCTTCATACCCCCTCTACCTGCAGAGCAACAGTGGAAAAAAGATGGAGTTGATCATCTCCAAACTACCTTTAAAATTTGAGATTAGGAATTGTTTGTACCTTGATGGTTGTTAAGGTCTGGTATAGACCATTAGTCACCAAACATTTTTGGTTCCTCACCCATCAATAAAAATGTTTGCTTTCTCCACCTTGACCCCCTTCCAATGTAGTTATGTAGTTTACCTTGAAAAGCTTGGACTTAGCAGTTAAAATGTACTCAAATCTTGGCTTTGCCACTAACTACCTGTGTCCTTAGCCACATCCAAATATTGCCTTAGTTTCTTCATTTGTAAAATAAGGAAAATAAAAGTATCTACCCAACAATGTCATTATGAAGATTAAATAAGTTAATATTTGCAAAACAAAGTGCTAAGTGCTATATAAAATTATTATATATAATATATATTAATTACATATTATATACCTAATATTTTAGGTACATTATAAAACATCAGAAAAATATCAGTAACAATGATTTAAAATGTGTGTGTTTTCTTTCTGCAATCTGCAAATTCTGTACCCTCCCTGGGCTGTGTGGACCCCTATTTGGAGACCATTCATTTATAGCTATACTGCATATGCAGTAGTCGCTAGCCATCATTAGCACATGTAGTTACAAGTAAAATTAAAAATTCAGTTCTTGAGTCACACTGACCACATTTCAAGTACTTAATAGCCACATGATTACTGGACAATGCAGATATAAAGTATTTCATCATTGCAGAAAGTTCTATAGTACAACACTGACGAAGCTGAAAAAAACAGGGGACTCGGCCAGCTCATAGGCGGCTGCATGGAGAAGTGAGAAAAGGTGTATAAGTCTCTGGCAGAGTACCTGAAACAGAGAGGAATTTGGAAATGTTAGTAAAATTTGACCTTAAATTAACCCAATCCTAAAAGCCTGAAAGGCAAAGAAAGATCTTGCTGTTGTCTTTGATTCTAATGGGTAAGTTTATCAAGGATACTGATTTGAGAAAACACAAAAGTTTAGCTAACTTTTACTTGAAAACAGAGCATTTAAGGGAAGATGGCAAATACCTGGATATTAATTACTCCTGCTTTCTTTGTCTCTCCCACCTGCAGACCCTGGTCTTCTCCCAGTCATGCCATCTCAGTGAGATGATGGCATTGCCATACACAAACCCGATGAGTCATCACCATCTCATCCTGTTTCTCTTCTCCTCATCCAATCCATTTGCCTCCAAAATACTGTAGGACTGACCTCCAAAACACTCCCCCTCTCTTCTGTCCCATCTGCACAGGACCACACAGGATTGTGTCACTCCTCTGCAGAAACCCTTCTGTGGCTCCCCATTGAGGCCTCCATGCACAGTTATGCAGGCTGTAGTAGAACAACCATGTGGAAGAGTGCCTTTCGCAGTGGAGCATTGTAAAGTAATGTTTATTACAAATATTCTTTGCATTCTCTTATTACAAATATTATAAAAAAATCTCCACTAGATTTTAGTGAAGTGTGTGATTCTAATAAAAGTATTTTACTACAATTTTCCAATAAAATGGGAAAGTCTTGAAGAGTGGATGCCTTTCTCTAATTTGCCCAAAGGTGCCACATAGGGTAGGAACATTTCTATTTTACTCAGACACAAAAATGCCAGCTCATCACCAGGTCCCTTGAGCCCAGCGAAATCCAGCCTCTGCCATCCTCTCCACCTAAAAATGAGGCCAAGCTCACCAAGTTCCAGTCACATAAACCTATGGGTTGTTGTTTTGTTTTATTTTTTTTTAATATACCAAGCTTTCTTCTGCTATAGGTCCCACTGCTCTGGCCACTTCTCTGTGTAGGCAACTACAGGCCCACTCCTCCCTGACCTTCACAGAACGTGGCCCCCTGTATTCCTTCAGGCTTCTGTGTCCAAGAGGGTGCCTTTGTTATTCTCAGTCACAGCCCTGTGTGTTTCCCCCACTGCACTTACAGATCTCTCTGAAGTCTGTAAGCTCCCCAGGGGCAGGCAGCTCACTGTCTTGCTATCCTTTCCATCTGGAAGTCCTAATAGAACAGGAGTGCGTGCCACTCAGTGTTACTGCCACCCCTTTCTACATTCTCCTCTGCACTGTGGAGAGAAAGCCTAGAACTCTGTTTTCCAAAGGACTTTTCCAGAATGGTTACCGGCTAAATTCTGCCAATGGAGACGCATATGTGAGATTTAAAAGAAAGAAGAAAAGGAGAAATTGTTATTCTCCAGTATGCTTCCAACCGACAGCTCAGATCACAGGGCACTGTTTCCCTAGAGATCTGGGTGTCAGACAAACCTGAAAAGATGAACATTCTATTTTTTTAAAGGGGGTGGGAATATATTCATTAAAAGGGCAGTGAAAATGTCCCAGATTAAGAGATGTGAAAGAGACATGACACTAAGCGCAATACTTGACCCTGGACTGAATCCTGTGTTGGGAGGGGCCAATGCAACAAGAGACATAATTGACAAAATCAGAATATGAAGAGAAAATAAAAGTGTTGTACCAACACTTAACTTTTATCAAAGTTAAATTTAATGTTCTGACTATATAAAAGAATACCTCTATTCTTGAACTATCCACACTAAAGTACATATTTAGGGTAAAGGACCATGATGTGTATAATTTAACCTCCAATGACTCAGAAAGACATTTCACATATAACATATGTTATATATCAAAGAGAGAAAACACCTACATAAATGATAATGCAAATGGTGTGAATGTTAATAGGTAAATCTGAGTAAAGAGTATATGAGTGTTCTTGGTACTATTTCTATTCTTGAAAACTGTAAGTTTTAAATTATTTCAAAAAAAGTTTAAATATATATAAAAATAAGCATTAAATAAACTATCCTGAATAACGTAAAACAAACAATGTTGTCTTAAATATCCAGTCTCAAAAGAGGCCCAGATTGACAGCTACATGATTAAAAAACAATACATTTTATGCTTTTTTTCCTAAACATAAAGTGATTTTACATTTCTTGCAGAAGGCAAAATGTTCCCTGTCTATGGGAAAACAACCTATAATACACACAGCATGTCTTTCTAAAATAAACATTGAATTACAGACATCTGTGGCTTTGCTAAGCACTATGTATCCTACAAACCAGTTTGGCACAATCACATTTGCTGCAGATCCTGGGCTGCAGGAAGTGAGAACAGATACTATGTACCTTATAAAAAATATATTATGTGAAGAAAATCATCTAAGTTATAGCCACAGCCCCCAAATTGCAGCATTGCTCACCTTTTGCTTTGAAGCAGGAAAGCCCTGAGACCCATGAAAATACAGTTCAATGCTATTTTATCAGAGAGCCTTATAATCACCAGCTTAGAAGATTATTTAGAAAAGTTTCCCAATTAACATAGAAGATTGCTTTTAAAATATTGCAAGACAGTAAACTGATCAGTAGTTGCCAGGTGTTAGGAGAGGAGGGAGAGATAAACAGGCAGAACACAGAGGATATTTAGGGCAGTGAAATTATTCTGTATGATACTAAATAATGACTAAAATTCATAGAATGTACAACACCATGAGTGAACCCAATGCAAGCT